CACCTGTAACACCTGTCTCACCTGTCTGAGCTGATCCTCTATGACCAGCTGCCTGTCCATGCCTGTGTAGAACACCTGGTAGGTGTGCTCGACGAACTCGACCATCTCGGGCGCGGTGTCGGCCTGGTAGTCCTGTCCGGGCGCGCGCTGGCAGCCCACGTCCCGCGCCGCCTTGTACAGCTGCTGCTGCAGCCACGCCTGCGCCTCCTTCTTCAGAACGTCCTTACGGGCAGGGTCCACCGCAGGCGGTTCCTGGAAAACAGAAACCCATCATTAATCCTTCCTGGAAGTAAAAAATCTACATGTTATGTATCTTCATGAAAGAATCTACCTTTTCCTGTCTATCTTCCTGAAGAACATCCATCTCAGAGTCAAAAAAATTCCTGGAAAATGGAAACTTAAGTTAATCTTAATCCTTCCTGGAAAGCTGCAATCTATTTTCTTGGGATCAGAAAAGCTACCTTTCCTGAAAAAAATTATTTTTCCTGGAAAACAAAAAATATACCTTTCCTGGAAAAAAATTTACCTTTCCTGGAAAAAAATCTACCTTTCCTGGAAAAAAATTTACCTTTCCTGGAAAAAATCTACCTTTCCTGGAAAACAGAAAAATTTATCTTCCCGAAAACAGAAAATCTACATTTCCAGGAAAACAGAAAAATTTATCTTCTTTGAAAACAGAAAGAATCTGCTGGAAAAAAACCTTTACTGGAAAACAGAAATCTCAGAACTAACTTTTCTACTGTTCAGCTTCAATCCACATTTCTGACATAAATTTTTGATAAACAAACTATAATAGCAGTTACATGCAAACGACAGCATACAATAAGAGTGGGGTTGTTAGGGTACTCACAATAAGAGTGGGGTTGTTAGGGTACTCACAATAAGAGTGGGGTTGTTAGGGTACTCACAATAAGAGTGGGGTTGTTAGGGTACTCACAATAAGAGTGGGGTTGTTAGGGTACTCACAATAGGAGTAGGGTTGTTAGGGTACTCACAATAAGAGTTGGGTTGTTGGGGTACTTGGGGAAGTACTTCTCCACGAACTGTTCGCCGAGCAACTCGAAGATCATCTGTCTCCTGTCGCTGTGGTTCAGCTGCTTCTCGATCCGCCGCGCAAACCGCTCGCTGATCTTCTCTTGCACCTGGGGACACAGCAGTTTTCATTCCTTTGTTAGTTTGGATGAACTATAAGTTACTAGTATAACATACAGTCACCAGTGCCACTGACGTATATAAGTTTAGCCCTTATGAGGAAAACATACGTAGTCATGTATGCTTTACACAGCATTTAATGTATACGCTGGCATGGCTTTAGTTTTCATTTGTTAGGCCACACCAATTTAATTCCTTGGTTAACGGATTCGCCGCTTCATTTTTTTCTGATTTGCAAATAAAAATAAAAATTCAGAATCAAGTGCAAAATGCTCATATTTTGCCCTGAACAGTTGAAAACAGTCCTTTTCTTACTACTTGTTACAGTCATTCCATCTTCCAATGCAGTGGTATCATTAAAAGTTCAAAATTCATTGTTTAAATTTTGAACCAGTCTGGTGTGTTGACTTCATGGCTCCTATCGTACCATTTTGGACCATAATAGGATGCCTAGGCCTGTTTTTATTTTTATTTTTTTTTCGCCCGCCCGCTCCATTATTTTTTTAGCAAAATCCGTTAACCAAGAAATTAAATTGGTGTGGCCTTAGTATTATTTCTTAGTTTGGATGTAGCATAACATACATTCATGGCTGTCACTGGCTCATAAAAGGCTAGCTTGGTGAGGGAAAATGTATTATACCGTACAATCTGAATATCTGTTACAGTACATTTGTATGGCTGGTATAACTGCCTTTCAGCATAACACAGCAGCTGCATATATTACACTGAACAACCTGCCACACCTAAACATGGCATGATTTTCTAACACCCAGCATTGTGTAAAGCTATCTACTAAGGATGCCCCTACTGTACCCAACATAATAATTCATACATATTACAAAAACAACACATAGGGTTAGAGTACACTATCTCAGCCTATTTATCTTAAGTACTTTCTTAACTTAAGATGAGGGTTTTGATAAAACATGCACTACAGAAAATGTTGCAAAAACAGGTGTTGAACTGATCAGAAGTTTAGAAATGTCACCAGTCACAAGCAGGAAAAGTTGGAAACAGCCTTACAGAGAGGAGAGGGGTGGAGACAGCTTAGAGTGAAGCCTGGAGTTGAGCTTCATCTGGACTTTCAACTTCAAACTGCGAAGGAAAATAGAAAAATCTTGGGACAGAAGAAAACCGTTCATAGAGAAGATGGCAAAGCAGGGCTTTCGCCAGCTTTCAAGTTTTTTGACATTGTAACTTTTTGAATCTTAGAAAAATTTTAGCAATGATGGATAAAGTCATTTCTTTAACCACCTTAAAGTTTATACATGTATAATAAAGCCAAACATACGGTCAATTCTCAGAGAATTTTGTTTCAACTATGTGCCAAATTTAGTCTGTTTAGGACACAAAATTGGTCAGAATTCTTGATGTGCAACATTCGCAGCAACATTTCCTTAAATGTTTTAAAAAAAAACAGAAATTACTGCCAGAAATTTTGTCCAACATTTTGATCAATGTTGCAATGATATAACACTGGTGAAATCAATCAATCAATCAATCAATCCACACTGGTGAAAGCCCTGCTATAGAATCAGACAGACAAGCGACATTCTCACCTTCTGCCACGGTGTGTTTGGGAGCAGCGTCTCGTGCAGACAAGAGTCCAGCCAGGACAGACCAAACGGCCGATGTGTCGACACATCCTCACTCTTCAGCCTCTCCATAACCAGCCTCCGAGTTCTGACAACTTTTGGTACAACTTTGGTTTTTTTTGTACACGTAAGGACTCACAGATTGTTAATACAGTTTCTGTACCAGCCTCTGACTTTCAACAACTTTTGGTACAAGTTTTTTGGTTGTTTTTTTTACACGGACTCAGTGTGGATTGTTAGTACAGTTTACACTACTGTTTTCTGTACCAACACTCTTTTATCAACTTTCAGTACGACTTTTATTTTTTTTACACGGACTCAGTACGGATTGTTGTTAGTATAGTTTGTACTACTTTCTTCTGTTTCTGCTTTGGGTAACACAGCCTTTTTTACAAGAACACAGTACAGGTTGTTTTTTATGAGTGCTCAGTGTATATTGTACCTTTGAGTACCTTTTAAACTTTTCTTTTAACAGATTCAGTACAGTTTGTCATTAACAACTTTGTACTGCTTCACCAATACTCTGGGTTACAAAACTTACAAAAGGACCCAATGTATGTATAATGCTTATACACTGTGTACTCAGTGTATAGTGTTGTACAGCACACACAGTTAGTATTACAGATGAAAGGACTTTATTGCCAAATCTCACTATACATACATACAGACTTCGACATGGAGACTTTCGCCTGACAGTAATGTAGGAATGACTCTAGTCAGCTAACATTCGCTGCCCTTTTTCTCAGGAATGTCTGGCCCTCTCTCCGGGACGTCCAGTCCAAAAATACAGCTCCATGGAGGTAGTTCAACAGTCCCCAAAGTATGTACACACAAAAACACTCCGCCCCTGAGCCATCGCCAAAAAAATACACACACGGACAAAATCAGAACAGTCTCCTAAAAAAATCTTGCCTACACTTTACTTTTACAATACTGTAGGAAACTTTTGATCCTTACTTTGAGAAAGGTTATATAAAAAAATGACTGTAACATCAACTTTCAGAGCACAAAAAATGACCACAAGTAGAGTTAAAACACTAGCTGAGTCCGGTATGAAACACAGTATGCCATAAACACTGACTGAGTCCTAGTACATGTACATGTAGATGTCTGGTGTAACTACATGTAGCTAAGGTAAGAGGCCGGGGCTATCTGGCTGGGCGGAGTTGTGGAGGGTCGGCGCCGTAACAGTACTTGGCTTTGGGGTCGCGATATGAATTCTCATGCTGCACGCTCTGCAAAAACAAGCATTGTGAAGAAAAAGCGTGAATGAATGAATGAAGACTATGTAATACAAGATAAATCAAGCAACTGCGTACTACATTCTCTACAGAATCAAATGTTTCAGATATCATCTACTACTAATAGAAAAGTGGCCTCTAGTACAGGTATGACTATATCTGTATCTGTTCATATATCTGTATCTGTATAGCCAGTATAACTACCCTTCCATGTAACACACCAGCTTCACAGGCACACAGTGCAATGTCAGCTGGCTATATTACACTAAACCTGTTACACCCAGCCTTTGCACATCTAACTGTAAGCGTTGTTTAAAGCTATCTGGTGATAAAGCCCCTTCGTGGCAGCTATACACCTAGGAGAAGAATTCTCTGTCCTTACGACAGGTGAGAATGCAGCCTTACCTGTGAGGAGGTGCGACACTTGGCCAGACACAGCTCAAAATGGTCCGTCACGGAGGCAAACAGAGTCCTGAAGGCATCGGGGACGTGGTCCAACAAACTCCGTAACAACGGTTGCTATGGGGGGGGGCAGAGGGTTAGTTAGTGAAGATCATCCCCGAGTGAATGTACATGTGTCGCAAACAAATATTTCAGACAGTAAATCATCTAGCTGGTTTTGGCATCACAGTTCACTGGCAAAAGGCAGCAGATACTGTCTTAAACTTCTGACCCTGGCATTCTTGGCTAGAAGTTGTGTTGTTGAGAAAGGCATTTTAAATGACTCTACCCAGGTATCTAACTTCAGTTTAAAACGCAGTGGAAGGAGAGGAATGGACTCACCCTTTCAATACAATACCATATCCTAGACAGGGGGAATTAACAACCCACTGCCCATAAGGCCTCAATCAGGTTTTGGGACTATCTTTTTCAGGTTGCAGAAAACTGATGATCTGATTCACAACTGAATCGTCTGAACTGATAATTGCAGATTTTATTGTTTGTTTGTTTGTTTGTTTGTTTGTAGTTACCTTTTCCGGTTGTAGGCAGCATGACACTTGCGGATGTCTGCCTGTTTGTTTGTTTGTTTGTTTGTTTATTTATTTGTTTGTAGTTACCTTTTCTGGCTGCAGACAGCAGGACACACAGTGCTCGTAGACCTGACAACAGCCGCTGTCCTGACAGCTGGCACAGGTAAAACGTCGAGTGGTGAGGGACGTCACATCACAGCAGCCTCCCACCAGGATATCTTCTCTGTCACATACAAAACCTGCAGGGGAAACAGTCACATCACAGTCACATCACAGTCACACCACAACAACCTCCCAGTCCCACCAGGATGTCTTCTCTGTCACACACAAAACCTGCGGGGGAAACAGTCACATCACAGTCACATCACAGCAACCTCCCACCAGGATGTCTTCTCTGTCACATACAAAACCTGCAGGGGAAACAGTCACATCACAGTCACATCACAGTCACATCACAACAACCTCCCACCAGGATGTCTTCTCTGTCACATACAAAACCTGCAGGGGTGGGGGGGTAACAAGGATACTTAGCGTACTGTTGTTGGCAGCAGGGTGTACATTATTTTCCAATAGATTAGCAAAGTCATCAAGGTGTTTGCAGAATTCCACATGTACATGGGTTTTGTAGATAGATAAGAATGATGTCAGTATGACATCCTGCCATTCAGGCCCTAACAACGCATTTCTTACACGTATTTCCCTTCACTTTAGTGTGAATATTTTTGGCATAATTGCTGAGAGATGCACACAGAGGTGGCCACTTGTTAAAAATTGTTTTCCCTTGGAATAAAAACCCCAACAAAAAAATGATTCCATTGGCTTGAGCTAGCCTGGCAGTGCATTCTTATGAAAAGAAACAGTAATGTTATTCCTACATTGCTATCAGACCTGAAACGTGATACAACTCTATTTATTACTGCACCGAAGCAGACAAAAAACTGTTAAGAGACAGTCCAGGATGTTATAAATATTTCAACACAACACACCAGCATATTGTTACAAGGTAATGGCAACAAGAATGTGATAAATGTTGCTTTTCTCTGGATAAAATTGGCCCTAATTCAACAAACCTGTGTGAAATGGTCTCGTCATGCATTTTTTATGTCATTTCATGATCAGAAGCTCATGTACCCCCGGTAAGTTGTAACAGACTTCTGAACCAGTCTTTCTATTCAACGTTCTGCCAGACATAATACCCATTGAACCTATATGTAGAATTTTCATAGACTCATACAAGCTAGTAATCTTTAATTTATTATCTACACACACGACATCATATCTTGTACCTGTTACAATCGTTGTGCAATAAACTTTACTTGACTTGTATTGTAACACATTTTTTAATTGCCTGGTTACCAGACCTAGGCTATAGCTCCCGAGTCCGCAAATAGCAGAGAGGATGTAGGACTCAGGAGCTATAACAGGATGGTAACCAGGGCCTGAGGCTAAAATGTTTATGGATGAACATTGCTGACATCTCACCTCTCTCGTCTGCGATGATCTCCTTCCCCTGTACTGAGTTCCTGCAGTTGGTGTCGGTCTTGTTGGCGAGATTCCGCGCCTGGAATCTCGGCTTCCAGCTGATCTTTCTCCGGAAGTCAAACTCGGGAGGTTTGTAGTCTCCGGTGTCTTTCACAACAGACTGTTCGGACTGTAGTGGTCAAAAACAGAAAAATTATTCTGACTTACGTATTCTTGTTGTGTCAATAAAGTTAGAATCTGTATCCATTCTTACGTCGATGAAGGTTAGACATCCAGGTAATACGATACGCCAAAAAGCAGTTACTCAAGCGACTGCCTGGATATGATTTTGAAAACGTCAGACGTTTCAGCTAGTATCCACCTAAGCTTTCGTCAGTGACTGAGAGACCAGAGGGGAATCCATGTATCCATTCTGTATCTGTATCTGTATAGCCGGTATAACCGCCCTTTGGCGTAACACACCAGCTTCAAACACCATTGTCCTTTAGTTCTTTTTACATATCAATTTATAGTTGTTTTTTTCGATAAATACCTGTTGACTATAGTCTATAGATCTCTTTCAGTCATTGACAATGACAAAAGGTAGTGGATGCTACCTGAAACATCTGACAGTTTTCAAATCTATTCAGTTGTTTGAGTAACTGTTATCTTGGAATCTTTCTACATGGATATGTCTATAACCTTCATAGATATAAAGATTATATAAACAAATCCATGGCAATTATGCTGTATTTGGATGAACTACAAAACAATATAGTTTACCCTCAGGATGCTTTTGAAATAGGCAAGTTGTGTTTAAGGGGAAAATCGGTGACAATATGCACATTATGACAATTTTCACTAAAAGTAAAATTTATTCAACTCAATCAATCAAATTATAAAATTTTGTCAAAGAGAATTACACTTTTCAACATCTGCAGTAGAGTAGAAATGATGGCCTGTATTTGACAATCATGAAAAATTTATAAAGTTACAAATTTGATCTTGACATTCATTTGAATAACCATGTGACGTGTGATCAAACTATTATTATGCATGACATCACTGGTAGCAACGTTTATGTTGTTATATTGCACTTCAAAAGTTATTTTCTCTCAACACAGCAACAAAAACCTTATGAAGACAGCATAAACATAACTTACTAGTGATAACAAAGTGCAACACCACAAAAATTCACACCTAGTTCGTATTGTTTTTACAAAATGCCCAAATATCCTGCACACGATCACAACCAAAACACAACAAAGGTATCGTCACACAAGCATGCAAACATCTTTCGTACAAATCTGTGTTTCTAAGGACAACCAAGCGACTTCTTTCGACGCCGCTACGATCTTGAGTTCGTACTTTACCTGTTTGAAGACGGAAACGAGGAAATATAGAAGAGAAGCGCCCAAAACCAGAGCTAGAAACCAGCGCCTTCGGAAAATACGCCGTGAAATCATGGGAATATGGTGGAAGTATGATCTGTGGAGACTGTACCAAATCTTAGAGGGGTCATCGTCAATTGTAGTAGGTAAAAATAAAGAAATTTTCCCTCAGAATTTTATATTGTCCTTTATTAGTGTAATATATAAAATGGTTTACATATTTTGAATGTTTTGTTTCTTTCCATGTTATGTTTATTATATAGTTTATAAAGATACTGAGAATATTTTTATCCCTATTCAGGAATAGAACGGTCTGAAACCTCGCCCTTTGATTGGCGCAGACGATCTGACTTCACTTTCAAGATGGCGCGTTTCAGGTGAGTCCACACCCTTTTTTATCTCGGAAAATTGGGACATATGGCAAGAATTTACCCCCTTTCATGGAACTTGTCGTCTATTTTTGTGGACTTAAGTCGGAGAGCACAACTTTAGGCTTCTTTTGGCGTCGGTGAAGCGAAATGTTACCGCCGCTTCGACGAGAATTCGAGTTGTCAACAAAAAGGAAAGTTTCGCAATACGTGTCCCAACATGGGTGTCCTTTCGCTGCGCAATTTCCTAGAAATTATCGTCTGAAAAGTCTCACGTCCACATTCTCTCACTAACCAACGCTTCAACTTTATTCTCTGCAGTTCCTGAGCAAAAACAGACGATATTTGGACGCTACAAATCCTATGCATGATGGCAGAGAGCAGGCCTAGGCGCGGCTCTGCTAGCAATAACAATGGTACAACAGCACGGGGCCGACTGACTGGTCTAACTCCGACCGTCTTGAGTCAAGCCGTGGACACTCTAAGAACCGACCCGTCTCTAAGAAACGAGGTGGCTTCCTTACTGAGAGAGATAGCTCCTCAGATCTCGCAAAGGCCGCAGCAAAATGCAGCAGGAAGGGCGCCACTAGCCGGGTTCACAGATGGCGACATTGAGAACAGACCAGGTGAGGCTAGTGCCACGCCCTACCAGGAGGAGACCATAGCAGTGGAGATGCCCGAAGGAACTCCTCACAGGGACTCGGAGGAGCCTCAAGACGCCCAAGAAGAAGTGACAGGCCCTCCTTTAAGGAGATGGCTCGGCTGGATGGAAAAAAGTGTGCCTTTCGTTGCCCTCTTGCTGGTCAAGATCCTCTATGCACACAGACTAGGTAGGCAGTTTTGTAATTTTACCGTACAGATCCTAACCCTTCCTAAAATGCCTAACTGAACATTGCTTAACTCAGCAGATCTTTATAATAAAATTATATATTCATGCGTCGGCCGGCATCATTGGACAATGCAGTCAGCGTGACAAGAATAATAAAGTTCTGTTTTTCTGACGCTTGTTTTCGGGTTGATGCATGCAGGTTATACATATTCAGCACGCATTCTTTGGTAAGAATGATACATGGGGGCATTGAGAGTACACGTTGAGAAGAAAATCAATTGGAATTACCGAGTTTCTGGTGGTTTTAATTGATGGAATATGTGGCTGGCTAAAATGGAGTAATCGATTAAAATAGAGTCGTATCTCTGAGTAAACCACATTGATTTAGGGCATTAGATGTATAGAATTTGAAATGGAATCATGCAAGGAAAAAAAATCAGTAATGCTAATGGAGAGAGCAGTAGCTATTCATCATCAATATAAAAATCTGTATCTACACAAAAAGAGAGATTGTACTTACTATACGTATACAGTAAGACAAACAGATGCCATATTCCCACTTATTGCATACATATGTTTATATGTATGTGTCACATTGGTAGAGAATCGTTTGTATTTCATTCAATGAATCCTCCAATAATTTTATTTTTTTGTGATAGCAAAATTGTAGAAGTGGTTCTAATGTTAAAAATCTGAATACGAGAATGTAGTACATACAGGCACAATATACTGAATACTAAATCCAGTTTTAGCTTATATATGAATAGATGTATTATGTAGCTTTCATACATAATCTCTAATACACATTTCCACATTGGAGGATGGTTAAATAATGTTATAATTTATAATCTGCAAAAGGCACCCACCATATTATGTTCAGCTCATTAATAAAAAACAGCTCTTGACCCAGGCATAAAAAATCATTTGAGAATTCACAATTTGTCAAACAAAAGGCTTCGTAACATTTTTTTTTGTTTGCATGGATTGACAGTAATATTGTTCATATGAGTGGAGATTAACATTACAAAAACAACTCTTGACCCAGTTGTTTAAAAATCATTTTATAATCATAATTAAATGTCAAACGTATATCAAAGGCTTGGTAACAATTTTTGTGTGATTGACTGGAATATTTTTCATGTCAAGGGAGATCATGAAAAAGAGATTATTTGGTGCATATTGTTGATAGCTGATTTCATGGGTTTTCATTTCCAGGTATTTGTATCCTCTTGGGCCTGTTTGGAACATTTATACACACCAATGCAACCATCAAGAGTCAAGTGGCATTGAAGGTAAAAATTACACAATATTTTGTGCTATAGTATAAGTATAAAATGTTTTTATGCCAGTATGGCCTTTTACTTTCAGTTTCATTTCACACCATATGGTAGCCATGTTGTAAAATGGCTAAGTGGCAAACTCCTAGTCAAGATTTGGTACCAGTTTTTATTTTGTAAGGAATTAATTTTACACTAACTAGAACACATAACGAACAAACCAAAATGAACTGATATCATGTATGAAAATGTCTTTGTGAATATCACATCAACATCGTCTTGTGTTTTTATATTCTAAAGGAGAGAAGATCGGTTAAGATGCTGCTCTGGCTGGTTTTGTTCCTGACTGCAAACATCATGCTCATATATTACGTGTTTGAGGAGGAACAACTCCAGAACAGGTAAGAAACAACATAAACAGTGTTCAGGGTTTGAAATGCCACCTGTATGTGCAGGTGATTACAGGTAAAATAACATCTGTTTAGGTATATTTTATATACTTAGGTGCACGACCCAGCCTGATCCATCAATTTTGATGCTCGGTTGTGTATATATATATATGTTACTTTTGTTATTTTGTTTACTGTTGGTGTTTATGTCTATCTGTACAGAGCACGCCTGTAAAGCAGTATATTGTACTGAGTGCGTCTACCCTGTATAAAGAAGACAGAAATAAATAGATAAATAAATAGTATCTTATCAGAGAAGCTTGTTTCAGAAAAGCTTTATTTGCATATCAATCAATAGTTTGTGCTTAGCTTATAAACCTGCATTTCTCCTCTGGTCTCTTAAGTGTCACTGACAAAAGGTAGTGGATACTAGCTGAAACGTCTGACCGTTTCCAAAATCATATCCAGTTGCTTGAGTAACTGTTTTTTGGCGTATGTTATTGCCTGGATGTCTAACCTTCACCGACGCAGTCTTCTCTTGATTTTTTTGCTGAAGAATCAGAGAAACAAGGTAATACATTGGTCTGGCATCCCATGTACAAGTCCAGAGCGCATGTGGTATTCTCTCCTCTTTAACGTTAGCCTAACTCATCAGGGAATTTTCCCTACCAGCCATTTGGCTCGTTAGGAAAACCAAGGGAAACCCTATGGGGACTTGGATGAGTCATTCTGGCCGACCTCTGACCTCCTGTCTGGTCGGGTTCTATCAATTATTCAGCGATTGGCCGGCTGCCAACCAATCGGATGCGAGATCTCGCTGATATGACTGTCACTTGACGCTACATGTTACATGCAAGTCTCCCAGGCTAGAACATAACAACGCTAGCCTGTCGGCTTTGCAAAAGAGTGATGACATGCTTACCATCAGATATCGTCTGCCATCATACTTAAACCCAAATAACCTGGATTTAACTAAAATGCAGGTAGATGTGGACTTACCCATACACGATTGATACTTCTTCTTCTCCTTTTCGTTGATACAATTATCAAATAAAATTAATTCAAAACTGAAAGCGACACACTGAAACTACTGAGAGATGTTGGTGCTCTCTGAAAAGGCATTTTATTCTGTTCTATTTGTGCCGCAGGTGCTGTCTTGGGGCAGTTCATAATCAGTTTAGCGGCAAGTGACTTCATACTGAGCCTGTCAATTCCAATGACAAAGCAACTATTTAGCCCTGATCTGGGTCATAATTTCCACTAAGGTATAGTAAGAATAGCCGAATGTCATTCTCGGTTCAGGCGGAATTGATAAAATTGCAGTTAATTGAATCTTTCTTTATTGAATGCTTATTGCATGTTCTTGCCCAGATGGGCTAAATGCACAAGAGGATATGCAGTATGCAAAACATGAGTATTTCATACTGGAACGCTATATTCTAATGCAAAGTGCTAGGAATCTATACAGTATAACAATACTATATACTACCTATCATCTACTTTTAGTTGCCCTTTCTTCTCTCTTTTTGAAACATTTGGAAACATAATTACATAGTTTGTCTACTGTACATTCGTTCTTGCATGACATCAAGTGTTTAAACAATTGTCCTGCTTTGACATTTTCTTACATATCTTGTTTAATTGTTAATACGAGAAGTGGGATTGTATTGGACACAAAACGCTTGGGACCCTCGGGGAAAGGTTTCATACAATCCATCAGTAGAAATTTGATAACGTCATTTGGAAAAAGGCAGACTTTTTGCCGCTGTTATCAATTCTAATCGGTTTGTAGAGCATTTTTGGTGGATACGGGCTACATGTATGTCATGTTGGATGTACTTTTACTCGATTTTGTAAACATTTTTATTGATAAAAATAATTCCATTTGGTGCTATGCCGCAATCACAATATCATAACAAAATGAGATGAAATGCAGACATGTTTCTTAATTCCTGTGAATGAATATCATAATAAGCCTTTATGACTTGAGTTGTACAATGTAAATATAGTAAATATCAGTTATTTTTGTAGTTCCAGACAATTGCTATCCGTGATTAGATGATAAAGTAAAAAACAAAGTACCTGTAAAAGATATAATGGCATCCTCTTTCATGATTGTGTTTCAGGCAGGAATTCATTTGAATTGATTAAAGAAAATGTGTGTTTTCATTGCTAGAAATTTGTCTTTGTCCTTAAACTTAAAGTTTTAAACATTTGTCTGAAAAATGACAAGGAACAGGGATTGAATTACATAATCATTATTGTTTTCATACCTAGACTTAAATTTTTTTCCTCAGGGTTTGTAACATTTTCCTAAAAAAATGACAAGAAATCAAGAGTAAATGTATTTTAACTGTGCTGATTATTTGTAAGCGATATGAGTGCAGCTTGGCCAGTACTGATGGTGTAGATGCAGGTTAGGCAGACTGTTTTTCCTGGGTCTAATCCGGATTTACAAGTCTTTAGTTGAAGGTGACTTATCGGTACTCAGTTGTAGTTTGGGGTCAATCCCAGCTAGAGATGCTCAGGCTAATAATTCTCAGGCCACACCAAATTATTTCTTTGTTTTTTGGACATTTTTAAGGAAAGATATCAGCAAGATTCCAAGATAAAAGAGAGAAAGAGAGCTGGGAAGATTATTCGAATCCAGTGACTGTATTTGTCGCCTGATTGTTTAACCATGGCTTTTCGTACCAAGGTACATTATTTCATGCTGATCTTCCACTTCCAGCTTAGCATGGTTGTTGTTTTGTTTAATCCAAGAACCAACTATTTGAATTGTTGTGGCCCAAATAAAGATAACATGATACATTGTAATTGTTGTCATCTGATATTATAAAAGATATAATGTTTATTCCTACAGAGCCTGAAATGAAGATATCCTAGTAACAATGTCAGCAAAAAATGATTTTTGGTTGTCATTATTATCTACATCTTAGTACACTCTTACTGCCACAGATACAGGTAATATTTTGATCACAGATATTTTTTGTTTGCTTGTCTGCCAATGAATGTTATATATGAAAAATATGAAGTCCAAATTTGTTTGTACATCAAAATTTTCTAGCTGAGGTGCGCCAGTGCGCTCATTCCAAAAAATGAATTTCCTGCTCTGGGATTTTTTCCAGTCTTAAAAGCAGAGATTTGCTGAGTCCTTTTTCTAGGTCGGTTGTTTTATCTCGTCCTCCATATGTGAGATCTGATCATAATTACCTGGACCCGGATGAGATCTCTGTGTATAAAGCAATAATCTGCTGTATAGTCCTTAACGTCCACCCTCACTAAGCTTCAATTACATACAGTGATTACAGAACTGATGACATTGTCCCAACCAAAGGCAATCTAATGTCCTTCTGTGATACATTCGCATGCGGCTATTATTTTTTATTGGTGTATTCAGGGATTGCCTACTAAAGGCCTTTCTGATAATGATGCCTTGATCCAGAATTATCAGCAGTATATACTAAGCTAATACATGTGCCTTACAATGTAACATGCATATGTCATCATGGACTGTGTGTTGATGTTGACCTATCTGCAACAGTTTGGTTTTCTGCACTGCAAAAATGTTGCTCTTTGTCATGCTAATTTTGTCTCAAGTGGATATTTCAATTGTGCGCCAGATAATAATATTATGATTGTGCACACTATAATTATAATAGTAGTGAAATTTCTGTTCAAAATCAACTGATACTAGCATTAAAAGCATGTAATATTTCACTTACATTTTCATTGTGTATATTAAAGAGGGTTAGAGTTAGCTTGTTGGTCACGTTGGCTTTCCGTGTGTGACTAACGTTTGAAACAGTGATTCATATACCAGTGGCTTAACATACAGCAGACATTTTCCCATACGTAGGTTTAAACCTGAATCATACCTGACAGTGTGTTGAACGTGTAGCCATGGTTCCATATGTACGTCTTACAGTACCTGAATCATACGGTCACGTCTGTGGCTTTTTGTTCAACATAGCCATGGTTGACGCTATAAGTATAATAGTAATGTTTTTATTTTATACAATGTATTTCATTTCCCACACACACATTCCCTATATAGTTTCTAATACTAGTAGTTGATTTATAGTCATGGCATTCATCAGTTCTGCTTCCAACAGAAACAAATGTAAGGACTGAATAATTTTGTTGTTAATAGGATGTTTTTGAAGAATTATACAATTTGTAATTGCACTAACAGAAGTTTAATCATGCTAATAATAACAATTGGAAATTGACAAGATTTAGCATTTAGATCATACATTGGAAGTCATCTTACATTGTACATGTACATGAAAACACTCTGCTTTTCTAGATTGATCATCTACACAATCAAGTAGATTTTTCGAATGCCATATGCCTATCCAAATCCTAAACAAATGTATACCCCTTGCAGAGGTCCACAAAAAAAAGGCTAGAGTCGGCAGTTTTTTCTAGGATCAGTCAGGAAACACATTTTTTTCCTAGGCCTAACCGTCATGCTTTCTTCTCTGTCTGAGTTCGCCCTCTTTATCTTATACAGACATGAAACAAACATGAAATCTGACCCTATCACATTAACGCAAACGGTAACGGCCGTTAGAAATATTTTCTGACGATTTTCTAACGATTTTCTAACGATTTTCTAACGAAATTTTCTAACGAAATTTTCTAACGAAAATCTAACCAAATACTAATGAAATTCTAACCCGTTAGTAATGGTGTACGCAGGTAACTATAACGCGAACGGTACTGTATGAGCTAACGTTGTGACGTTTGTTTGCTCCAGTTTGATCCTGATGCAGCCGAACTTTGCCTGGGTGGATTTCTGGACCCTCCTGTGGGTTGTCGGCATGACAGACTTTGTTATCAAGTTCATGAGCATGGCGGTCAAGTGCCTTATCGTCCTGCTGCCCAGGGGGGTCATGCACTTCAAGAGACGGGTGAGATTTCTTCTTCTGTATCTGTTTGTATGTTACAACTGTTACAGTTGGTAGCTACATAGTAGTACTGTACTTTCTGTTGTTTATATTTTGTATCATAAGCATGTCGGCAGAATGTACTGCGCCAGTGCAGAACCCCGATTTTTCACGCTCTTCAGTGGATTTTTGGTCAACGTTGCATCAGAATATTGCCTGTTGCAGACGATATTTTTTCCGAGTGACATAACATTTGGAAACTACAGACGGAGTGTTGATCTTATATGCGCGAATACAACCTTATATGAGATGTTCTGCCAAAGTTACAGATTTCGCGCAGGTGCAGTACGTTCTGCTGACGTGCTTATATCATACTGCTCTGGGGGTCCCTGACCTAGTGGTACTAGTACTATAGAAGTATGCCTATACATGTACATGTACTGTAAAAATAAATTTCAGCTTGAAGTACTCATATAGTAGTTTAGGTAGAAAAATTGTGGACCTTAAAAAAGTATGGCCAATTGTTTGCAATTCGTACAGGCAACTTTTTTAGTGGTGTCCGTCTTTATTATAGGATTTTAACCTATTTAACAAAAATGATTATTATCAACAAGGTTTTATTTCTCTGTGCAGGGTAAGTACTACATGTTTGTAGAACAGCTGGCACAGTATTACAGAAGCCTGACACCCATGCCTGTCTGGTACAAGTTTCTCTCTAACTAACATTCTCTCATTCCTCCTCTCTCTCTCTCCCTGCAGGGTAAGTACTACATGTTTGTAGAACAGCTGGCCCAGTATTACAGAAGCCTGACACCCATGCCTGTCTGGTACAAGTTTCTCTCTAACTAACATTCTCTCATTTCTTCTCTCTCTCTCTCCCTGCAGGGTAAGTACTACATGTTTGTAGAACAGCTGGCCCAGTATTACAGAAGCCTGACACCCATGCCTGTCTGGTACAAGTTTCTCTCTAACTAACATTCTCTCATTCCCTCTCTCTCTCCCTGCAGGGAAAGTACTACATGTTTGTAGAACAGCTGGCTCAGTATTACAGAAGCCTGACACCCATGCCTGTCTGGTACAAGTTTCTGTCCGACAGTGACCACTCCGGTGGGCCCATCCTCGCCTTCCTACTTACAGCAAGCTACTTCATACTCAAGGTACGTCCGGGTTATTCATTTGTTATTAATTATTCCTTATTTATTATTTGTTATATATTATTTATTCATTATTCTTTTGCAGAAGGAAAGCATATTGTTTTTGCTTAGTTCCTTCTTTATTTCCAAACAAATAAGGTCAATGAACTGAACCAGACGGCTGTCACCATGGTAACTGGTGCAGTAGCAGACACCCTGTGGTGTTGGGTTAGATTATGTAGCAAGTGGCAGGACAGAGTTGTATAGGGCTGGTCTTCATACATATCACGGACAAATACAAACAATTTACAAGTACTTATTTATTATAATAACTTAGATTATTAGAATCATTAAAAGAAAATCAATAAACCAAAAAATTATAACAAAGTAAAGCAAAAAATAGTTTCTTAAAAGCTCAGTGAACCAGAAACTGTAACTAACATGGCCCGATTCTGATTGATGTAGTTTTGTATAATTCGTCAGGATCGTCATACAAGATTCATCGGCCATGGTTATGAATATATGATGGCGATCAGCCGACATGCTTGTACCAGATAAAGAATTAATTGGTTTGTTGGGTTCCGCTTTGATGGGCCGTATCAACTGTGGAACAACGGTTCAGTTTCTGTATTATCCATAATGCCAGGAGCAGGAAGGAGTCTTGGTTGCTTAATATATTTTGTGTTGTTTGTTTGTTTTCTCTTTTGGTCAAAATGGATGAGAAATATGTGTTGAAAAAAGGAATAATTTTTAGTTTCTAAATTATTTTTAATTGTATTACGTACAGTAATCATGTTTGATTTTTAAAATGTTATTTCTTCTCTATTTTGCAAAAACGGGTTGAAAATGTATTTAAAAATTGATCATATAGATCAACAATTATAATGATTATCTGTTGAAGTATGTTCCTGTTATGAATAATCAAAAGCTATTTTAATTATTTGTAGGTGGTCTGTCCTGTTCTATTGTGCAATTTACAAGGTCCCATTTTGCTAAAGCGACCAAAATTGCAAAACACTAAAGTAAAGAGATCGTATGACAGATACATAGAGAAGCAACTAACTCACAATCATAACAAGTAGAGATGGTTTAATAATTCAAATCATGCTATGATAAGATAAAGAGATAAGTATGTAATGTATGGTCTAGACTCTAGGTCAGTCAGAAGTAGTAGGCCAAATGAGGCAAGGTTCACAGATAAATGTACACAGAAGCAACATTACAACTGTGCATATGCCCAGATTTTTCACGCTTTTCGTTGGATTTTTGGTCAATGTTGCATCAGAATTTTGCCTGTTGTAGACGATATCTTTTTTGACACAATATTTTAAATCTACAGACGAGATGTTAACCTTATAATATATATGCGAATACGGCCTTCTACCAAAGTGCGTTGCACTATACATTATGGGTATTGCACATTGCCAACGGGCTCTGTACATATGTCCTGCATGTATGACTGACACAATGTATTAAGGCTCATGACTTATGACTGAGCTATAAAATATTGCTTATTACCGTGAAGTGATCTTCAATTTTGTGACATGTCATTGTCAGAAATAATTTTGTGTCTGAAGGCAGCTCTCAAATTATATGTGGGTTATTTGAATGTGCACTTACTGATTCAGAGTGTTTGTAGTATGGTAGCTCTTCTTTGGTATTTTGCTTATTTGTGGTAGCAAATTAGCTAGCCATTTATAACATTACAGCATTAAATTGTACAAAATGCACCACAGTACATCAATGAAACTCAACTAGAGCTCACATAACTAAAATTTGATGATTATGTTCCATTAGATACTACTCTATACATTGTATGTAATAACAAATTATCAAATGTTGGAATAAGATAAAACAGTCAGAATTGACTGAAACTTCCTGGTAGTTTTAACATTTGATGATATTGCAAATTTTCCTTTATTCTCTTGAAATGTGTTAATTTTACATTATGAAACTATAATACTGCTGTAAAGCCCCACAAAATATCTAGGTGTGCCCACAGTCCAAAATTATGTCTGTAGGTGCGCATTTTGTAAGTCTGTCTGATGAAATTTTATTTCAATGATTGATAATATGTGCAGTGTCATATGAAAATCTGACAAAATTAATGTATTCTTCACGTCATTTATGTATATGTGACATGCCAGTCAAGTTTAAATAAAACTGATCTGATACGTTATTTTTTAATTTTGAGCACAAAAAACACGAATTTTTTGCCCTGCACTGTCACTGATGTTTTGTTTTGTTTTGTTTTTAGACCCTGGGACTGTGGAATAAAGCCAAGCAGCTGAGACAAGCCTGGCTGAAGGTTATACGAGACACGGTGAGTGTTCTGTTTCCCTGTTCATCTATAATTCATACAGAACAGCCAGACTCACGCAATAGTGATACCCTCACCATTGTAATGTGTGCATGGCCTCAATCTGCTCATCTTGATCTTATATAGTAAATGTTTCACATGTATAACACTAGAAGAGTATTACGTAGTGGCTCTGGTAACCACTCTGGCCTTCTTACCCAGTCCGAAATTATGCGACTGTGATACCCTCACAATTGTAATGTGTGCATGGCCTCAATCTGCTCAACATGCATGGCCCTGAGAATACAAAGATTCTTGTTATTATTTACAGATGTAGTTATAATGTCAGAAGAGTAGTGGCTCTCTGGCCCTTATAATTCCCCCCCAAAAATCATCAGTCCGAAATTACGCGACTATGATATCTTCACGATTGTGTGGCCTCAATTTGCTCACCATGACCAGCATTATACAAAGATACTTGTTCTTATTTAGTTATAACGTCAGAAGAGTAGTGGCTCTGGTAGCCAATCTGGCCCTCTTCCCCAAAAAAACCATCAGTCAGAAATTACACGACTATGATACCCTGACGATTGTGTGCATGGCCTCAATCTGCTCAATATAGCCAGGATACAAAGATTCTTGTTCTTCTAACGTTAGAAGGTGGCTAGGCGGTGTAGTGGTTAGGGTTCTTGACTCAGAATTGAAGGTCCCTGTGTTTTGCCATAGGGAAAAGCACTTAAGTAGTCTTTACACTTATTTCCTTCCTCGACTCAGTTGAAAATGAGTGCCTAGCTTCGGTTAGGGATGTAAAGGGACATCAAACACAGTACCCATGTTTGAGGACATAAATGGTGTGGAAAACTTGAAAGAAGTCCTGGAACCCTAATAGAATTTTTCTGTAAAATGTGTGAGAACCAATAAGATAACCTGGTTTGGCCTGCTTGTAAACCTCCCATCCTGCACACAGTGCAGTTTTCTGGCATTAATTCCAGTTCCTTGGAGAACGTTTTATTGACTGCATTGCAGCTACATTGTATTTGTAATATGGCAGGGCTGGAAATGCTGGGTGCATAAAATATGCACTTTTGTCCATCCAAAATCGGAGCTACGTGCCAAATTTTTTACTGTAGATGCTCCAATGTACCTTGAGAGGATTTTACATAATACAATGTAATATAAAATTATTATTATGTAATAACTGTACACTATTACGTAACAGAATAGTCTTGACATGATCAGGCTTTGCTAACATTCAACTCATCCAACAACAGTAATGCCTGTGAGGCTGTTATTTGAACCAGAAGAACTGTTTAAAAAATCATTCTTATATCTTTATCTTGTGTTGTGCACCCCCAATTTTTTCCTGTACTGATGCAGCACCTAAATGTTGAGGTTAGGTGTTTCGATTCAGTGCCCCTCTGTAAGCCCCAGACATGACTTTGGAGCCCGGTAATATGCAGATGTCAGAGTTGTGTACTTATCTCTCTGGAACAGGACTCGCGTGCGGCATGCCTTCTCCTTGTTTCTCATCCCCAGCGCATCTCTGAACAATTTCCCCAACGGATTGCCGCGGCCAAGTCAGCGTAGTTCTGTGGTCATCAGCATTCTTATGTTTACCTCGGTCCTCATATAGTTTTTCAGTTTATTTATTTCACCAGCAACTATACTCAGATTAGGCCACACCAAGTAAATTTTATGGATGACGTCCTTTGGAGACCCTAAATCTAATGCGAGAGGGCGAAAAAAAAACAAGAAGGGCCCTGAAAAACAAGATGCCTAGATTAGAAATATACTAAGAGACGACAAATGTTAGGACACAAATTGAATGAGGTGACACAGTGTAACAAGCAAGAAGTCTTTTATTCATCATCAAAACAGCAATAAATCAGGTGGAACAGCAGTCATTGTCCTGTCCTGTTTATTTCATCACATTTTTGCAGGTCTGCAGAAAAAAGCATGTGCTCTTTACCCATTTCGCGTTACGGGTTTCACGTTAATCTAATGATTTGCGGCACTGTCGTGACCCTTTGGTCATAGTTACAGGAAGCGGAATTTCTTGTTTTGTTTTCCAGGAACAGGCCAAAATCAATGCGCGCGCGGACGTCATCCATGAAATTTACTTGGTGTGGCCTTATATAAAAATCTGTTTTTCAGGCAGTGCAGGGCATAACAGACAGTACAGTATTACATAAAATATTGACAATCCAGTAGAATTTTTTTTTGCTCATTTTGGTCTTTGTTCTTTATCTATTTATCCAGTACAGACTCACATTATGACGATTTTGAAAGAATTCCTGAAGGGGATATTTAACCCCACAATAGATTAATTTACATATTAACATTAATTTACAAATAATAAAAGTCAACCAAACCAAAAGCGAGACAAAATTTTCTCTTCCTCATCTTCATCAACCAGACGTCTGTCACCATGGTAACTGGTGTTGTAGCAGACATCCTGTGGTGTTGGATTACATCATGTAGCAACAGCAAAATATTATCCTTTTCTGCTAAACGTATTGTTACAGTAGCATAATGAAACGTGTCTTGTCAATTGCAATTGTCTATCCCAGCATTTAGTTTGTAAATATCTGTCTGACTTAAAGCTTATTTCTAATCCTAAAAGCATTAAAAGGTCTCAATATAAGACATTATAGACATATAAGAATTTAGGCTTTATTTTAGAACAACAGTCCAAGGAAGCATGCCTTGCCTACTTAAGAAGGTTCTGTAGTCCGTGCAGGCGTATCAAGTTTCACGCAGCACCTTGAGGATAGTAAAAGAGCACTTAGGTGAGTTGTAAATCACGTGTCGCGGCTCGAAACGCGTTTTCTATTTCGCGTTCTCCATAAAATAAATGTGGTTTCTGCCGGTAACAGAACGTGGCTGAAATGCATCGGGAGCATCGTTTTTATCTTCTGTAGATACTGGGCCACACCAAATTGATTTGCTGGCTCTTGGTTAAAAAATTAAATGACAAGTATGTTTCCTATTTTGCATTGTCCATAAAATAAATGTGGTTCCTGCCAGTTGCAAAGTGTATTCTAAAATGCTTTGGGATACCTTGTTATCATATATAGCCACACTGATTTAATTTGTTGGTTCTCAGTTCAAAAAATCAATTTAAGCTTTAGTATCAGCATAAAAACAGTGATTGTCTAAGGTTTCAGAGAGGGAATATAAGGCAGTTATTAATAGTCAGATTCAAGATTTTCTCTATTCTTGTTGAAGAGATTCAATATTTTCTCTATTCTCATTTTTGCCTGATTTTTTTTTTCGAAAAGGTGTCCTAGAACCAAATAGATAAATCAGTGTGACCTAAAACGAATCTGGACCAAAACTTCTGCTTCAAAGCGTTTGAAATCTCTTTATGATCTACAGATGTGTGGAAGATAAAGAACAGAAGACTTGAAAGTGGGAAATCAGGAGTTAAGTAATGAGTATTGATTACTGGGGAAGGGCTTAAAACACCCTTTTTATCCTACCTGAAAATATTTCCAGCATTACTGGGGCAAGTTGCAAAATCCTTTATTCTCCTCTACCTGAAAATGTTTCCAGAATCACTGAAGCAAGTTTATTCTCCTCTACCTTAGAATATTTGCAGAATAACTGGAGCAGGGCTCAAAATCTTTTTCTTTCTGAAATCATGCAAGAATTTTTACTAACAATTAGCAATTTGGTCACCATCTTGGGAAAATATCTTGTAGTGTCTGTTTTATATATATATATATATATTATATACATGATGTGAAATCTACATTGTATTTTGAAATGAAAATCGGCACCCGCATACATTATTAGCAGTGATCAGTCTCGAAGAGACTTAAATCAAGTTGACAGCATTTGACTGAAATGTAGTTCAGAGCACCCATCCTTGAATATTTTATGCTGTTCCTTACATTTCACATTAATATGGGAATGAACTGTGGCTTGGGCATTTGTGGAAATTTTTTACAAATTGCAAATAGTACTTCTAACATTGTAGGCAACATATAAAAAGGTTTTGATCCCTGGTATTTTATACACTATTGGGGCGTGTGCGAGTATTGGTAAAGGTTTGTATATTTTTGTGTATGCAGAAATTGCAAACATTTCTGACAACTTTGGAGATTGTAGGCAGCATACAAAAAAAGGGTTCAATCCCTGGTATTTTGTAGCCTGATAGGACACACAATACATGTTGAAAAAGGTTCTCACATGAATCCTACATGTATGATGGCTTGGGTGTTTCACGAAATTGCAAACATTTCTGACAACTTTGGACATGGTAGCTACTAGGCAGCATACAAAAATAGGGATTTTAATCCCTAGTATTTGTTAACCTAATGGGACACATATATGAGTATTGGTAAAAGTTTTTACATTAATCCTACGATGTCTCTTGTGTATCCAGAAACTGCAAACATTTCTGACAACTAAAATGGTAGGCAGCATACAAAAAGAGCATTTCGATCCCTGGTATTTGCTACCGTAATGGGGCACATTATGTGAGTATTGGTAAAGGTTTCCACATGAATCCAATAGCTACGATGTCTCATTTAAATTGTATGCAGAAATTGTAAACATTTCTAACAAGTTGAACATAGGATGTGGTAGGCAACATTTTTAAAAAAAGGATTTCGATCCCTGGTATTTGCTACCGTAATGGGGCACATATGTGAGTATTGGTAAAGGTTTCCACATGAATCCTACGCTTGTATCGGTCCTGGGGGAAAATCCTGATTTATCTGGTCTCCCCGCACATCTCAGGATTCTTCTTCGCGTATTGATTTTCGCCTGGACTTATTCATTCTGCACTTGAGAGGGAACTCCAACAGGTGCCGTAAATTTCAGCCTCCCCCGCTTTCTGTGCCGGGGATTCGCGCGTCGGTGGTGACTTTCGTTGGCAGAAATACAGCAGCAGAAATGGAAACGGACAGCTTGAGAGATGGGTTACATTTGCAGTCCTGGATCGGCAAATGTTCGTGTACGACTAGCGAGATAAAATGTGCAAAATTTACGTGCAAGTAGAAAGTACTGGGTCCCAAATAAATGAGATATTTCCGAGTTGGATTCAGTTATTATAATTGCATTTTTCTCCTGTCCTCACTTCATGCATCAATAGTAATAAGAAATAAGTGAATGATATTTGAATGTAATAAGATACAGCTTCCATTCTCATGAAACAGATAATTAATTGTGTTTTGTGGTGTTTAGTAGATATTGGTGCTGTATGTAGGTTAGTTGGTTGGTTACTTGATGAGTTGCTTGTTTTTTTCCTTTTTCTTTCATCTTCTTTTCTTTCTTCCATCCTTCCTTCATTTGGTGACCTCCAATATATACGACTTTCCCCAACCGAAGTTAGGTACCCATTCACACCTGGGTGGAGTGATGAAAGTCATTTAAAGTGCCTTTCCCAAGGACACAACATCAGGGCGCATGTCCAGACATGTCCCGGGTACAACTTTGTAGTCGAATGCTCTTAGACTACCACTACGCCACCCAACGTTGAGTTGTGTTTTCTCCCATGTACATGTACAGAGATATGGCCAGCCAGCGTCCTATTCTTTCTTCCTTCCCTATCCTCCTTCCTTCCCTCTTTCTCCCATGCTGATCATAAGTTATTCTGTTTTCTCCCATGTACAGAACTATGGGCAGCCACCCTCCCATTCTTCCCTCCTTCCTTCCTTCATGAATGATTGAATGAATGAACAAGCTAACTGAGAAGCACTGTTTCCTCCCCTGTATACAGAACTATGGGCAGCCGGCGTCCCAGGACCAGATGGTAGCGGCAGGAAACGTGTGTGCCATCTGCCAGGAGGACTTCAAGGGACCCATCTCACTCCAGTGTAAGGTCAGAATCACTTCCTTCACTCTCATTTTCTTACCAAATAAACTTTATTGCACAACAATTGTACATATAGAATACAACACGGGGTATTCCGTATCGCCCAAGGTATCGGCCCGACCGCGGGTCGGATCGCCCGACGGCCGCAGGCCGGAGGGCGATCCGACTCGCGGGAGGGCCGGGACCGAGGGCGATGCGGAATACACCGTGTTGTATTTTATTTATATCATACCCACCCAAGAAAACGCGCCTTTCAATGCAATATAAGCCAAAAGTTGGTGCCCCTAAACCCTCAAATGCAACAACATCAGTTCCAACCAAAGTTCCAACGTCCGGATTCTGTATTCGAATTTTCGAAAGCGGCACACGCGGTTAGGGAGAAACGCGTTCGAATCGTTTTATGGAAGCCATGGAAGCGTTCGATAACGGGTTCCAGACCGGGCCGTACCGTAAAGTACGGCCCGGTCCGGAACCCGTTATCGAACGTTATCGCGGCCCGGGTATGATATAAAACAACATATAGCATCTAGTACATGTATTGCAAAATTATAACAAACATACTACGTGTATGAGACTAAATTCTATCATACAAAGTATGTAGTATGGGATGAGGATATGCCTTAACAGTCAATGGTCAAATTTCTAGACATTTTTTTAGATGTTATCCTAGAAATGTAATGTATAGGTTGTCACATCAAATTGTACTTTAATTTGCTATTAGATTCCATTGATTGGAATGATAGATAACTATACACCATAAACGTGTGGTGAACCTCTATACCAGTTCCTGAACTGTATGTGTTACGTTTACTGCAACATGCCTGATTTATTTTTCTATTAATTTGTTTATTGAGATTTACCACATTTGTGGAAGGATTGACATAACAGGTGACTATCACCTTTTCAAGATGTCAACCCTTCGCCTGGACTGTTGTTGTTATTGTTGTTCGTTCATCGTTTAAAGGTTTGAACCGCTCACTCTGGGAAGGACCCTGCCTTTACGTTCCCATCTGCTGCAGTATAAAGCCTGTGTTTAATGACCCCTGTCCTTCAGCCTGGCTGGCAGATAAATCCAGCCTGCTTAGTGTCTGTGGCGGCCCAGGCGTTACACACATAAGTGGTTAAATATGCTGCACTAATGGTACAAAATATCAATAAGGCAGTACAGGGCAGGAGGGCTCCATTCTAACATTCCCCCTGGGGGTTTCAAACCTTGTTATACAGGCTACTGCAGAAGGAATGGCACAAACACAGAGGTTAGGCCTAGGAAAATAAATGTTGTGTTTCCTGTTTCAGTCTTTAAAAAATGAGGGTCGGTAACTAGGGTCGGCAGTTTTTCTACGGTCAGTCGGGAAACAGGAAACACAACTTTTTTTTTTCTGGGCCTTATTTTTTTTAGCTGAGCCTTTATAACAGCAGAGGCAGGCCTACCCAAATAATTTCCGTGGTTCTCAGACATTTTACAGGAAAGAAATGCAGCAAAAGGTCAAGACCTCAGGTCTCTTAAGCCTTGTTATACAGGCTACTGCTGCAGGAATGGCACAAACACACGGGTTAGCTGAGCCTTTATAACAGCAGCAGCGGGCCTACCCAAATCATTTCCTTGTTTTTTTTACACAAAAACAAGAAATACAGAAATGGGTCAGGACCTCAATTCTTTAAAATTGTTATGGATTTGGGTAAGTCCCAATTTAATTAGTGTGTGGACATAACGTTTTTCGTCATAATTGTTATACATGTAATTTGATTAAGGGGGCCTTTTTATAAGCATATTAAGATTTTGACCACCAGTTCAATGTCATAGTTCATTTATACTGTTTAAGTATTTGTTTTTAAAGTGCAAAATAAACAAATAAACATTGAAAAGGTGAAAGTACAACATGTAGAAGGCTTGGAGGAAAGCTTGAACCTTTCGCTGAAATTTTGTGTACCAAGGTACGGACTGTTTTCATGTAGGTCTTCCAGTTTAACATTTAAATTTTAAAGCTGAGAAAGAACAAGTATAATTAGTTTGACCTAATTATGGAGTCTGTATGATTGTACAATATTGGCCCAAAATGGATGGATTGTCAATTAAACAACGTTGGGATAATCGCACCACTGTCAGGAGAAAGTCTGAATTATTTATTCTGTATACACAAAAAATACAAAACAAAAATGTAGGTCAGGGTTACACTTAGTTACAGTCTACACTTCCAACACCAAAACATCACTATCAATTATCAAATCACTATAAAAATCAGTAGGACTACTATATATTGTACCTTTTTTGGTTGAAGAAGTAAAGAAAAAATTACCTTTTTTCCTAATGAAAAACACTGGTCGGAATACTTTTTTTCTGTGCTCGGCAGTATTGCAGAAGACTCAAAATTTTGTTCTGCAAATACACAAGCCTCCATACTACAACCTTCCATGTTTTACCTTCTGCAAAATTGCAGATTGTATAAAGTTTTTCTTCTGCAATGTTAAAAATTTATCTGCAGATTGCAGACTGCAGACAGGTATTTTGAACACTGAAAAAAAATGAAATTATAATTAAAACTGGACATCTTGTAACATTACACAATCTACAATTTCGTAGGTACCACATGTGTCTATGATGACATTGTTGTACCCCACATGTGTCTATGAAGAGTAATATATATTTTTCCCAGTACCCAAATGCCCGTATCACCCTAAATGGATTTGGATCCAGCCCAGGGCACTACTGTATGCATGGCTATGAGGAGGTATTTCATTACAGGACCCAATTGTGCAGAACAGGGGCAGTTTCATGGTTAATTTAGTCTGACTGTGGACCACGGCAGGTATTGATTATGCCATATATAAGGGTTGCATGTTACACCCTCTTACCACTACAGGCTACAAGGGCTGACCGACCAAAAATTTCAGAAATTTTTTTTTGCAATGAATTTCGTAGACAAAGAAATTTTTTATTGTGTTTTGCCATGTTTTATTTAAACCATACAAGATCAAGGGTTACACAAATGCAATTTTGACATATGTAAGGGCTGCATGTTTCACCCTCTTACCACTACAGGCTACAAGGACTGACCCAGTAAAAATTTCAGATATCTTCTCAACAAATTTTGTAGACAAAGACATTTTTGAGCATTTGTGTTTTGCTGTGTTTTATTTAAACTACACTTTATTCCAAACACAAGATCAAGTGTTACACAAATACAATTTTGCCATATATAAGGGTTGCATGTTACACCCTCTTACCACTACTGGCTACAAGGGCTGTCCAACCAAAAATTACACAGAATATCTTCTCAACAAATTTCATAGACAAATTTTTTAATGTTTGTGTTTTGCTGTGTTTTCTTTAAACTATACTTTATTCCAAATACAAGATCAAGGGTTACACAAATACAATTTTGCCATATGTAAGGGTTGCATGTTTCACCCTCTTACCACTACAGGCTACAAGGGCTGACCCACTAAAAATTTCAGATATCTTCTCAACCAATTTTGTAGATGAATTTTTAAACGATTTGTTTTGCTGTGTGCACCCCAACAATTTTTTGTGCACAATAAATTTTGAGCCCTAATGTTTTAAGCTTCTATATCTACATTTACTATAATGTGTGGTTTGATTTCCTCTTTAGAAGCAGTGGAATACGACATAATACTTTTAGTTCCAAACACTTGCAACTGAATTGTGTTTATCAATCGGTTTTTGGTACTTCACATGAAAATAGATTCAGTACATATGATATATTCTGACAGTACACAGAAATCCCCTGTAGTGTGTTGTTTATAATAAATATGCAGCTGATGCCGTTTAAACCATTGCCTGGATGTAATAGCCTCCTGAGGTTTACAGGCTGGGCCAAACCAAAGCAATTCCTTGGTTCTTACATTTTCGGTGGGAAAAAACATGGCTTGTAAGAGGTCACTTATTTTGTGGCTATAGAAAGCATGTAGTTTGACCTAAAATGTGTTTCATCTTCAAAATAAAAAATATTTTACACCAGTATGATCACTATACCCATTCTGCAATTAGATTTTACAACAATTCTAGTTTTCTTAGTGTTCTCTATTAGCCTTGGGTTACTGTATTGCATTGTATATTGACTTCTGTTCAACATTTGTCATGCACCTTCACAATCAACTGTACTGCTATAGTATTGGTACATGTAAATGTAAATTTTATGTGAACACCAATTTTGTAACAAACATTGCAGATTTCAGTTAAGGCACACTGTGTCTCTCCCTGAAAAAAAATGTATGTTTGTAGTTGTAAGAAACAATTATAGTTATACTCCCAAATAGCACTTATACCAGGCTAGCTCCCATAGGAGAGCCCATGCAGATTAATGTATGCCCCATGGAGCATCGCGTACCGCCTATAACTTGGATAGCTACGAATAGACCATCTTTCACTGTCGATTAACCCTGCGAAGGGTGACAAATTATCCCACATGTGGCACGCTTTTACCACCTCTCTCTGTATCTCTGACAGTCACTTGCATTAGACTGTAACGTTAAAAAGGTTATAGTGCGATGTAAACCATGGAAAATACATTCAGACTGTGATGTTTTATTGTAGTTATGTAATCATTTTTAGGCTTCAAAGACTTAGTTGTTGGCAAGGTATTATGGAGTTGTTATTTGTCACACTAGAATTGTGAGAAAATATTTACAGGAACAGTAAGAGCGATTGTGGTATCACATACACATAGTAAGGCCAGAGTAAAGGTATTGCTTGGTTCCTGTATGTTAAAAGGCAAATGTTTTGACAGTTTTTGCTCTTTTTCAGCATGTGGTTTGCAAGGACTGAATCACAATGTTGCTTTTGTTTCATAGTCTAGTATTTACAGCATTAAACTGGTGTGTTACGCCTAAGGGCATAAGACCGGGTATTACCGGCTATACCAATACAGATACAGATAGAGCATGTTTTCTACACAGACTGCTCCCAGGTGTGGCTTGACATGTTGTTTATTTGTTTGTTGTTTTCCAGCACGTGTTCTGTGAGGACTGTGTGCTAGTGTGGTTCGACCATGAGAAGACCTGTGTGTTATTGTTATTTACTTGACGTTTGTTTGTTTGTTGTTTTCCAGCACGTGTTCTGTGAGGACTGTGTCCTAGTGTGGTTCGACCGTGAGAAGACGTGTCCGATGTGCCGTGCAGAAATCGCAGATGACCCTCTGTGGCGGGACGGAGCCACCAGTGCCTTCGTACAGCTCTACTGAAACATATCAACACAACTTCTTAATCTTACTTCTCAGATTTTATAAGAAAAAAATCAACGCATTCACTCACTATCCAGTTTCATCATCATCATCTTTATAAATCTGGTGAGGTACACTTGATAAAGTTACTCCAGTATGTCCTATCCCTCATAGCAGACACTAATGCACTATCCGGTTTAGCGTCTGTTGTTCCCCGACTTCCGAGGGTTAGACATACTTGCATAACAATACTGAGGCTTGATGGCAGTTTGCCACTTACCTCTATCCTATCGGTTGACGTTATGTAGGTTCAAGTGGTGGAAGTCCTCTCTTACATTCTCAATTCATTTCTTCTTTCTTTGGTCGACCACTACAGCATGAAACTGAGGGGAAAGTCTGTACCTTGGTTCACACAGTTTCTGGGAATGAGTGCAGGGTTCTAGCTAGCACAAAGTAGCGTAGGGGCCCCCTATGCTAAAATTTGACCCCCTGTGCTAAATTTCCCCCCCTACGCTATAATTTTGACCCCCTACGCTAAATTCCCCCCCCCCTTACACATACAGCATAGGGGCATTGTGACTGTATTTCTTTGTTCAAGAATGGCAGATCAAATGTGGAAAATTACCAATCAAGGATACATTGTACATACATTGTATCATACATACATTGTACATACATGGAAATAACATTTTTTCCATTTGTGTATCCATCAAATGGCCTTTTTTAGCTCAAATGTTTAAAAGCTCCGCACCACGGAAGGAGGGCCCATCAACAGGCGGCCAGTACCACTCTGCTAAAATTATATTCTAGCTAGAACCCTGGAGTGAATATAGTCAGGTCAAGTTTTGCTCCCAATCCTGTGTTTTCATCTTACTAAATTCTTACTTTTTTCTTACTTGAAGATGTCCTAAAACTGACCTAAAGTACACAGCTTTAAAAATGATTTGTAAAATTTTTCAAACTCAACCGTTTACCAGTATTGACCACTGTTCTTTAAAACTTCAAGATAATCATAAAATTTTCTAAATCAAAAGCAATAAAAGTCTGGTATTCATAAGTCATGTGATAATCTAAATTTTCCTAATCATATATTGATCCAATTATTATTATCTTGGTAACATACATATATTGGAATCAGGGGACAAAAGACTATGCAATTCATAAACCAGAGAATTAAATTGCTATTGCCAAGTCTAACGTGAAATAACCTACCCAAAACTTTCAGTTTGTCCAACATGTATGGCTATGCTGCCTGTTACTTAATCACTTGTGTGATGAATAAGTATAAGATTAGTTTATTTATTTTCTGAAGTATAGAAAGTTAAACTTATTTAACCATCAACCTTCAAAGGTGGACAATTGGAACCAAATTTATATTGGTTATGGGTAAGGTAGCAGGGAGGCGGTTAAAAATAAAAACATTAAGCAATATTACGATCTTTACATAAAACTACAGCAAGTTACTTACAGAAAAGTTGCAAGAAGGCTGCAGTATGGTGATTTTCTAGTATGGTAATTTTCTAGTATGGTGATTTTATGAATACCATCTTTGCACATGTTGATTTGGGTCTTCATTTAGTTGTAAACTAAAGTAAAGATACATAAACAGGGAAATTATTTTTGTAAATCCAAGACTTCTATTTTAGTGAAAAATGATTTAGAATATGCCATATGATGTGTACAGAGAGTGTTTATTGAAATTCTATATGAAGATATGCCAGACATAGCTAAGATAACTGTTTAAATGTTAAATATATGATGTCGATTTTTCTTCTTTAGAAAAGCAACAAGTAATGATTTTAAGCTAAGCATCTTGAAATAAAACTGTTACCAAAGGGATCTTGAATAAAGTTAAATATTCCTGCTCTGCCTTGGAGTTGGTCTTAGAATATGTGTATAACATTAATTCAAAGGAGTGTTGTTATTGGAATGTGTGTTCTTGATCTCGCAAAGCAGTGTGTTCAAGGGGGTGAGGTCTGCCATCTCTGCTTGCCATGTTGTACCTAAACTCCGTACTTCAGTTGTAGACGTATAACTGTTATAGCGCTAAAACAGAACCTATTTCTGTACCCGACCTATCCTTGGTGCTGAAATCCGACTGTTGTTACGACTTCCGCAAAAATTATTACCTTCACCAACAAGTTTCTGTTTTCGGCTGCGTGTGTCTGTCTGTGAACAGCGTAACTTGACAAGTCATGGATGGATCTTTATGATAGTTGGTATTACCAAAGGTTATGACAAAGGCTTGAAATGACGACCCGACCTGTCCTTGGTACTGAAATACAGCTGTTTGTACGAGGTCCACAAAAATCTTCAGTTTTTTGTCCTTGGTACTGAAATCCGGCTGCTGTTGCGACTTCCGTAGTCTCAGCACAGTAGAGATACCGGGGAGCCTACGGTGGTCTGGCTGCCAGGCTACAGTACTCCCAGCACCGTAGAGGTACCGGGGAGCCTACGGTGGTCTGGCTGCCAGGCTACAGTACTCCCAGCACCGCAGAGATACCGGGGAGCCTACGATGGCCTGGCTACCAGGCTACAGTACTCACAGCAGAGATACCGGGGAGCATTCGGTGGTCTGGCCGCCAGGCTAGCTACTTGTTGTTGTGCAGCCGGCTCTCCGCTCCATCTGTGGTGATATCAGAACTCTTTGATTGCCGACCTTTCAGAAGTTCGCTTTGAAGACAGGATGTATTAAGCGCCGATTACTCCGGTCCTCCGGGAACGGCGTGTGTTTAACTACCAGCGCGGGCTCGTGCCAGATCAAAGCGGCTCAAAATAGGCTTTCTGGCAAAACACAGGAGCTCTGAGAGAACAAAAACACTTGTAGCGGCTTGGGGTGGTGTTTTGGAAGCGGCAATGTTGAGGTTACCTTGGTGAGGTTTATTATGTCCAGAACTGTGCATGTTAAGTTCTATGCCTGAATGGGTTAGGGTTAGTATTAGGTACGGTTCTGGATATAGTCTCCGCGTATCTAGGAACATAGATTTCCCCAGGCATGGTTCTGGATACGCGTGGATCATGGACTGTTACATCCAGAACCGTGTCTATCTAGTTCCATGCCTCAATGGGTTAGTGTTATTGTTAGAATTAGGCACGGTTCTGGATAGTCTCCGCGTATCCACGGACGTAGATTTGCCGCAGGCACAATTCTGTATACGCGTGGACTATCTAGAACCGTGCCTGAGCATGGTTCTGGATAAAGCACGGTTCTGGATACGCGTGGACCATCCATAGCCGTGCCTGAGCAACCTCAAAAATGCTATAGGACAACCTTTACCTTTTTACCTTTATATAACCTTCCTTACGCGCCAATATCACGCCTGTCGCGACAGTCTAACCCGCGCGCCCGTCACGTAATGAGAAAACAACTTCGGGGTAATCGAAAGTCACAACCGCCTCGGGCAAAACTCGCTATGAAAGAACTCAGTGACAGCCGGGGGACGGGTTAATTTCCGTGTCTATATATAATGGCTTCTCCTAATGAGATAGACACGTTTTCGTCTCGCTTTGATTCCTCCGAGCCGCGGGTTTGAGTCCTTGACAAAGGAGAAACACTTGCAAATAACCACGCCGCGTGTGCTAATTACGTTCTGATGGATACTGTAGTGTATGTAGAGGTGTATGCTAGAAGTGTTGTGTAGCTTTGTAACAAATTGTGTGTCGACATGTATGTTGCAATAAGTAATGAAAGGTATAAAGCTACATCAAGTTATCCTCTACCAGGCTTCAGAAGCGGCTGGAAAGAGTAGAAATTGACTAGATGAGATAGTTATATAACATGCCAGGGTCTGCTAAAAGAGTACAATTTGCCACTATGAGCATGCTATCTATATATACCACCAATTTGCACTCCTTTCAGCCACCTCTAAGGCCTAATAGAGGCTACAATCTAGTCGCAATACTTCTTAAGGCGTTTGTTTGCCGCAAGTAGCCGAGAATGTGTCCTTCAGAGCTCGCAAACTTGTTGTTCAATCTATTTTCCTTCTTTGTGCCGCCGGCTAAAGCAACAGAAGCCGCCGATCGCTTTGATGTTGCAGACTTGTTTGACGAACCAACTTGCGCGGAGAGCTTTGAGAAAAGCGAACTGATGTTTCAATAAACCGCCGGTCGGATGTTTGATGTCGGGAGTCAACAACTCAGGCGGCTCTTCAGCGCGCACTGCGGAATTTAATCGCGAAATTGACTCCTTTTATGTTTGAAGAAATCCGCTGTGTTTTTAGGAGATTTGTGAGAATGATATGTTTTTTCAAGCTAATACTGCGAATGAAAGTTTTAAGTGTCTAAATGTGTGGGGTCGTGTGGCGTGACGGCAGAGTGATCGACTATATAGCTAGGAACCAAGAGGTCCCGGGTTCGAGTCCTGACATGCCACCGATCTTGTGCCCTTGCAATTGGGAAAGGCACTTTACACGACTTTCAACACTTAACTCAGGTGAAAATGAGTATCGTATTGTCCTGTATTTGTCCTCTGTGTTGGTGGCGGGATAAAATAAGTTGATATAACTTGGGAGTGTGCCGTCACCATGTCTAGTCATGAAATGTTGGAATATAGAAAAAAAGTTTTAAACGGCAATTGCGAATCCGTAGAATGCTTCATGCAGCTCTGAAGTCGACTTAGAATCAATTTTTCTGTATCTGTATAGCCGGTATAACCGCCCTTCGGTGTAACACACCAGCTTCGCAGGCACGCGGCGCGGCGGCAGCTGGCTACATGACACAGAACGACTTGTTACACCTAACCCTTGAGCATCTAAATCCAGACATTGTTTAAAGCTATCTAATGACAATGCCCCTACTGTACTTAGTGACAGCGAGTTCCACTCTGCGATAGTTCTAGGATTTTTGAAGTCTGAGTGAAAGTTTTTGCCTGGGAGGCCGGACGATTGTGATCTGCGCTGTTCCGTCTTCCCCTGACAGCGCGCTATCAACGGGAGCCATTTCTCATTAACAAAAGTCCATTTCTCATTACCGGGGACCCCCCTACAGGAAGCAATGTGACAGCACGGCCGCCATTTTGATGGAGCTGCAATTAAACTCTGTTCCGACTTCGGGCGGAGTTGTTGATGCAGGACTTAAGTCCCTAAAACTCTGAACACGATCTCATTCTAGAGTTCCTTAAAATTTGACACAACCAGGTCGCATGGTGGTAATTTGGTTAGCGTTGTAGGCTAGGAATCCAAGGGTTCTGGGTTCGAATCTCCCCCAATGTTTTGTCCTTGGGAAAGGCACTTAACACCTAT